TATTGTATTGCCTTCGGATGGTGTATTTGGTTGCAATTCCTTGTGATTACCATGGTTCAGGGCGTCGTGTGCCTTCCTTACCGAGTTGTCCACAATGAGAGTTCTCAAGACGTCTTCACATTGCCTCTTTTGGGTATGCTGACAACAAAAGCGTGTGGATTGGGTTTGCTTCTTATCTCACATTGCGTTTATGGTAGGTTGAACATGTTGAATGATGGTACCTCTGGCAGCAACAAGTTACGGATCTCAAAGCAAGAATGCTGTATGGTTGGCTCAATGGTATGCGTGGTATTCGATCTACAAAGCGAAACCTGTGAATTAACGAGCCTTACAATGAAACAGCAGCAGCACATACTGGATCGGATGGATACATGGTTATTTGCAAGCATCAATGGAATGGTATTGGGAATACCTCAAGGTACAGTGCATCATTGTGGGATTGGTTGGATTCAAATGGACTTACTAAACACCATACAGTGGCAGAGCCGCTTTCGGCGATACTATTATTATCACGGCTGCATGTCAAGGACGTCATTGTACTACACTTTCCTGTGGAGCTCTACATGTTGTGCCCGGGGGCAGTGCGACTCACGGTGCGGCCTCAGAGATTTAAAAATGCATCCTCTGTTCGCACGGCTCCATCGTTTTACGGCTATTGATCTCCTTGCCTTTAGAGAGAAGATGGTATCTCTATTGATGCACTTCATCGCGTCGATCCACAGGAGAGTACTGGTACTATGATGTTTCTTTGGCTGTGCGCTTTTATTATTACTTTACATCCTGATGGCCTATTTGGTTCCCAAATCTGCGGGTGATAATTACGTGATTCAGGTGTGTATGACTCTCGAGCTTTTTGGAGACCTTTGCTGGAACGCCTACCATTATTTAGAGGGCCCATTGCAGAGAGCTACTTGTCTTTTGGTGCTTTGAAGTTTACAAGGCCATAGCTATGTATGATTGCTAAGTATTAGTGGATGGGTTTGGAAAAGTGCTTACCATGCATCTTTTATAGGGTGATCATGTCCGATATGAGGAAAGGTGTTTATACCTTTTGATGGTGTCAATCTTTATTGCGTCTCGGGTGGTTGGTTACCTAGCAACGGGCGATTTCTCTGGAGAATGTCAGCCAATGAACGTCTTTTATGAGTGGATTGTATCAGCAACTAGCAACAGCATCCATATCGTTGGTTCCACATCAAGCTTTATCCCATCATCTGGTTTTCTCGTTATCGGCAATTCGGTGGGCATCCTGAAATGGAGTTCTCTTATCGATTGATCACATCAGCGGCAAGGAACAACTTGTATATCTTTCATATCAGCAACCTTTCGATCTTCTGGTGGTTCTGGTTATCGGCAATCCCTTTGATGGATCTCTACAACTATACGTGTCTTATGGATGGATCATGTCATCAACAAGCAATGAAGTCCCGCGTTCGAATCTTTTGTGTTACCAAGTCATTCATGCATCTCGTCAAGGACTCCATCGTCAAGCTGCATTCCATACCCAATGAAAAAGGATTGGTATCTCATTCATATCGGCTATATCACTGAGTGTACTCCCTTCCGCAGCTAGGATGCTGGTTTGGGCTTTTCGATGGATGATTTTTCGGTTTGCATGTGGTCTTGGGCAGCACATTGGTTCGTTCTCGCTCCTTGCAAGGGCTATTCGGCATCGTGTAAGTATGCTATCTTCGGTGGTACAAGTATTACCCAACCTTCTCACTGTATATGCCCATCAAGTATCGTTCCATCGCTTACAACTTACAACCCAGGTGCCACCGTAGCGGGTCTTATCAACAAGCGGACGATTGCAAAGAGTCGGCTTGATTTGGATATCAGCAGGTTTGCGTGCATACATGGGTATCATTGGTAAATAGTGATCCATTGGTTTCTACAACGTCTGCCAACCTCTTTCGTTTATTGTAGTATGTGGTCTATTCAGCAAGCTACTTGTCTTCTGGTTCTTTGGGATTTTCATGGATGCAGCTATCATTGGATGTCGACATGTTTTCGTGCATACATGGGTATCATTGGTGGATAGTGGATGATCCGTTTATTGGCTCCAAGCCCAACCAACCTCCTCTTTTATTTTATTATAGTATGTGGGCTATTCAGCAAGCCTTCTGGTCTTTTGGGGATTTCATGGATGCAGCTGTCTTTGGATATGAGTATGTTTTCATGCATATGACTATCATTGGTAAGTCGTTATCCGCTCTTTTCTACAACGCCCACCAACCTCCTCTCTTATTATAGTATGCGGGCTATTCGGCAAGCTACTTGTCTTGTGCCCTTTGCATTCTTGATGGATGCAGCTATCATTGGATGTCAACAGGGTTTCATTCATATGGCTACCATTGGTAATTGATGATGGATTCGTCTCTACAACGCCTGCCAAACTCCGCTTTTATCGTAGCATGTGGGTTATTCATCAAGCTACTTGTCTTCTGGTCCTTGTGAATATTCATAGATGCAGCTATCATTGCTAAGTATCGTTCTATGGATTTGGAAAACTGTTTACGTGTATCGTTTATAGGTGAATCATGTTAGCATCAAGCAGCAACGTCTATGTTAGCATCTTTCAGTGCCAACTGGCCTTATTACATCGTCGATGGTTTTCGTTACCACCTATTGGACACTTCCTTTTATTTGCATCTGCAACAATAAGCAACAGCTTCTATGTCTTCTGGTGTCGCCGAGCTTTATCTCCTCCTTATTGTATCACAAAATCCAGGTACTTCTTGCATAACCGATAACCGGGCCACCTTTTATTATTCCATCTTCGAAGCTATAGTATGTAATCCACAAGCTAGCAAAGTCCAAGATTGCAATAAATAAACAATGCTTTTATTTCATCTAGCTATCTTGCTACATTGCCACCATCATCGTCGTAGTCGTAGTCGTCTTCCGTCATCATTCGTACTAGTACTCGTACTCGTGAGCACTCGTCAACCTTGTCGACACCCAATATCCAAAACCACACAGGTTGAAACGAATGGGATCTTGCAGGCTTCCTTTTGAATCTCATTGTCGTTATCATTGTCATTGTTGTGAATGTGGTGATCATCGTAATTGTCATTGTTGTGGATCTCGTTATCGTTATCATCGTCATTGTTGTGAATGTGGTAATCCTCGTAATGGTCGTCTCTATAAGTAAAAAGCAGCCAAGTTAGACCATCTGATACCAGGAATGATGACGATTTGGTATACCGTTAGGCGATCCTCTCCAAGGAAGAAAGCAAATCAGAAGGGATTCACAAACCAAATCACCATCATACGAGCAACGTCAGGCGATCCCTTGTTCTTGAGAAAGCACTGCACGAATCACGCAAGGCCAGTTCGATCCATGGCAAGGAAGGACTCACATACGTAGAGTCCAAGCTCATAGGTGTCCTCATTCATCCTCTCCAAAGAAAGAATGATCCCCAATCCTTCCAATCATTTCCCACCTCATGAAAAGAAATCCTCAAGGGAAAGAACGAGCCTATCACGAGAAGAGCGTGTGGGTTCAACAAATTCACAAGCTGTTGCAAATCCCCTTTTACCTCAACACGGTGACCATGCTCTTCCAAAAATCCATCGTCAT